TTTAAAAGTTGAGTATGTGGAAAGGGAGAACATGTTTGCCAGTTACATGCTCTCTCCATCTCCATTTTGAACACCCAGAGTCAGTTTCATGGTTTGTATATTCGACAGAGACTTGTTCTGTGCACTGAATTTAGCCGGGGTTTTCAGGGATCTATGCTTCATCTGTAAATAATAGCAGTTTTATTCCTGATTGTCCTATTTTTCCCTTATATTGCCCTAGTGAAACAATGTGATCAGTTAAGGTATGGTTCTTTTTGTTTGTAAGTTCCACAGCATCAATAACAGCTTTTGAACATATTTTTATCCTTCTCCTTCATCTCCTTCAATCACTGACCTTTATCCCGGAAAGAGCTATGCACATCGCATTCTGCAGTCTCTCTTTCTGAGACCAATGAGAACAGTTACAGGGTGGTGTGTTGATGGATTCTTTTGTATGTTTCATTTCAAGATAATGACATCCCCTTTGTTTTAACCTAGCCAGTGAGAAACAGCAGGAGGAGACTAGCAGAGGAAGCTATTCCGACTATTGATTTTCTTGTGCCTTTCAGTGGTTCGTTAATTCCTCTAACAACTGCTTCTTAGGTTGCTGTCTGGGTGTGACCATTACTAGCCAGCAGAATAGGGGCTGTCATGGCTGGTTGAAGTCATAGCTGATAATGTCAAGTTTACCTTCTGGATTCTTCTATCTACGAGTTACTAATTTATTACAGATGCAATATGGAGCTCTCTACAAATAGTGAAATGCCTTCATTTTAAATGTGACATTCTTCCACAGTAAGTGTAGGTGCCAGAAGACTATAAGCCAGCAGAGAGACAAGAGGGGTTGGACAGATAGAACATTGCAAAAATTAGCCCTATGCATGAATTGTTCATATGGAAATGGTATGTTTAATTTTGCTTCCCTTGTATTGACTGCTATTGCTATTATGTCCCTACTAGCTATGTTAGAGTTCAAAATTGTCTGGTACTGTATACCATGACTGTTAGAAAGCACCTGGCTAGATTGAGGCTCTTACTGATTTCAAAACCTCTACAGATCTCCCGTTTTACTGTCAGCTAGAACAGGGTGTGTGTTGGAAGGCAATAGGCAAATCACTGTTATGCAGAAGTTGAATAAGGGAGTACTGAAAATAGAACAGTAATTGTAAAGCTATTTCTGGCACAGGTTTTATTGCTTATGAGTCCCTCTTGTCCCTCTAATTTCTGAGAAAGATAGCTATTATAATAAAATGGTAAGAAAAAGTTGCTGATTTTATTCCAGAAGTAATTACATAATTTAAAAAAATCTGCATGTAGTTATTCTGTATAGGGTTTGGGGTTTTTGTTTTGTTTTCACAACATAGGTAAAGATCACAGAAGAACTTCTAGGACACTACATAGGTAGTATGCAAAACAGGGCTTGCTGATAGCATGTAGTCATTCCTCAGATAGCATAAGTGTGTGCAGTCCCAAATAGCTTTGTGTGAGATGTTCCCCATCCAGTAGAGTTAATTGCCAAAGTGTAATTTTTCAGCATCTGGCGTGGGCTGTTTTGCTTGCCTGCATGGAACAGATTTAACCGCTGAGAAGTTTTCTCCGGCTGATGGCAGAAATTATGAAATACTTGTAATCAGTAGGTCTCTAATAGGTTGGGGCTCCCTGTGGGAAGGGCATTGCAAAGTTTTTCACAGCTAGAAGCCACTCTCTGTATATCATTTCAAAGCCCAGAGAGGTGTGAGGCCTGATGTGGGAGGAGTGAAAGGAGAAGTTTCTTCCTAAAGAAATTTCTGCTTCAGCATTTTAGTGTTAAGGTCTTCTGAATATGGGGTTGCTCTAAAAGTGGTTGCATTCATATGTAACTTTTCACTCCAGAAATAAAATGTAAATGACAGCCCTTGTTAAAACAAGGTTATTCTATTTTCTGAAGCTCAGCAAATCAGGAAATAGAGAAAGAAAAGCACAAATTCACTTTACAACTTCAGCTTTTTCCTTTAATGTTTACATTTTGTGTTTAAAAAAAAAAAATCCAGATTTTGCACTATTGAAAATAATAGGAGATACTGTTCTTCTGGTTTTTTGTACTCTAAAACATTCACATCTACCATAGGAATGTCAGAAGTGTTACTATGTTGTGTTCAGTGGCCACTTTCACTGATGGCAGATATAGAACTTCATTTAGATACATATTGCTTGAGTTCAAGAAGAGGCTGTTTTAGTTTAACAGAAGAGTTTATGGTACGTATTTGGCAAATCTAGTTCCGTGTAGTGCATAAACATGCTACTTGTAAATGCTGCCTTGTTATCACAATGCATAGAAATGCTTGCTCACTGAAGTTTTTCTTCAGTCCTCCACCAGGACTCCATCTGTAACAATTTTGCATTAGACTTTATTTTGTCAACATTGTCTTCTGGTGTAAAGAGCTGCTAATGTATTTCAAAAATTTGGAGATACCATTTTAAGGCTTACTTATTAATCAGAAAAAAAGCAGGCAAAGACACTAGATTGTTACATTTTTTTTTTAAGGAAAAACTTATTTATCCACAACAGCTGCTTGGAGGGAGGCATCATAGTAAATATTGCTTGGTACAAGGAGTGCCATGCATCATTTTCTGGACAGTCTGTGTGATAGGGTAGTTATTATAGTGACAGTGAAATAAATATCAAATTGTGTTGTGGTGGGGGTTTTTTGGGGTTTGTTGTGGTTTTTTTTTTTTTTTTAAGGTTGCATCAAAGCTGTTTGCAGTCTGTTTGTCTGTGTTTCTTTTTACGTGAATGAATGTAGCATTTCTCCTAAAGCGTTAAAATCACACATGTTCAATAAGTTGGTTTTTTTAACCTGAGATGCAACTGTCCCAATTTGTGTTTGTATTCACCACCACCCTTCACCCTGCAAGCAAACCTTGCTCTTGAGGTTGGCTTATCAGGAGCTACATGTCTGTGGCTGCTGTCTTCAGTGCATGTAGTACAGTCTGTTCACTGATTTCAGAGAAGTCTTTCACCTCACCCGCTTCTCTGTTGAGGTGCTAACTGGATGTGTTCAGAATACTCTTCTTTATTTGCAGCATGCTGTATTGGGTCTAACTAGTGAGAAACTGTCCTAGTAACTTACATTATTGACTCACAACAGATAAATGACATTGAATCTAGCTTTTTTTTCCTTCCCTTCTTTTTCTTGCTTCGCCTTTCTTTGGTTGAGAGACCAAAGCAATTTGATATATTATTTGGCACCATCTTTGGTGCAAATACAGTTTTAATCAAGGAGGAAAATAGAGATTTTCTCTAAATGTGCCTACTATTGTTTAAAAAGAGATTATGCTTCTTCTAACCTGACTTTGGTAACAGCCATGTTTTGAGCCTGCTATATGGTAAATTACTTTAACAACATGTCAACATTTTGTCTTGGGGTCTAAAGGAATTTAAAAATTTCTTCTGGAAAGGAATAAAGTGTGCAAAAGAGTTTATATACATGCTTTCATTTTGTATATTGCTGTACAGACCTGCACTGCATGTGAATTTGCACACAGGTTATTTTCTTCTCTGTCACGAACAGAAAGCACAATTATTTCTTTAATTAGATTGAAGAGCTGCTGCTTCATTCCTTATTAATCAGTTTCTCCAGCCAGGCTCACATTTCTTTCTGACTAAATTTCTCATGCCAGATAGTTTTCACTGATGCTGGAAATAATGAAGGGGTAAATAAGACAGCAGGTTCCAAAAATTATTTCAAGCAGGTTTGCAGGTATCAGACATGCCTAGAAAGAAGTGGCTCAAAGCTTAAAATTCAAGTGTATGTTTGAGGTGCTAGTTGATCTTTCTCCAAAAATCAAGAGCTTTTGCAGTTGGGGATGGTGTTGTCTTCAATTGCTTTTGTTAAGTTCACTTTCTTATTTTTCTCCTTTCGTTTGTTCATGGATCTCAGACTTTACATCTCCTAGTTAAGTGTACAGATAGCTGAAGTGGTCTGCCTGCTGACAGCCACCGAATGGGCAAATAATATGATTTCTTAGAAAAACCATGAACTGATCAGCTTCCCTAATGATGACTTATATAAGATTAAGTTTATCTCATCTTAGTCTTCATCTTTCCTTTCTCTAATTCCAGTTCAGGGGCCAGATCTAGGTTCTCACTACTTGAAATGAAATCCTAAAATGGTATTGTCATTTTCCTAATCACCAGAACTCGCCATCTATGTAATTCCAAGGGTGGGAAGGAGCCCTTTGCATAGGCTGCAGTGATCCATACATCACTCAGGAGTGTTTGGGGAAATGACTCCCCTGACCAGGAGGTCATCCTGTGAAGGTGGAGGTGCAGTCAGACAGTGTAGCTGACCATAACACACTCTGACTGAAATACAGAGAGACAATTGCAACTGTTGAGAAGCATCTCCAGGGATGAATGTCACCCCAGTGGTGTACCTGTTGCCTATTGTTAAGTCAGTTTGTATTTGGTGATACCAGCCAGCCCAGACTTAGCTTTTATTAAACTAGTTATATGTAGCCCTGTTGTAGGTGTATCGGATATGATGAGGTGTTACACCTACTGAATGCCTGTCTGGCAATTATTCAGGGAGCATTAGACAAAAATATGTTTAAAAGCATGACATGGCTTTTTAATGCACATGAAATAGGGCTTCGTTTCATGATCCGTGTTAAACCAATTGTGTAAAATGTCCATTAAAAGAGTGTGCAGTAGAGAGAGGGATCAGATTTTGTCAGAACTTGTTAAAATGTGTTCAGAATTATGCCGTCTGTGGGGCAAAGTTTGAAGCGAATAATACATACAGCAAAGTAAAGAGAAGTGGTCCTCGGAGTTTTCTTTCATTCCTTCATTTAGTGATCTTATCTTTCTGTCTGGTTTTCATTTGTGATTCTATCTGTATTTCTTCTCAAATTAGGACAATATTTGATTTCTTTATCATAAATGCCTTCTTCAGTAGAGAGTTACGTAGGGCTTCCCACTGTATGTGTCTGCTTTGTTTTCCAGGAAGCCATTGTATGGACTGTTTCAATATAATTCCAGTATGATTGGACTAGAATCATTAGCCGATCCCTCAGATACCTGGGAAATTATAGAGACTATTGGGAAAGGCACTTATGGTAAAGTCTATAAGGTTGCCAATAAGAAAGATGGGAGTCTGGCAGCAGTAAAGATTCTGGATCCTATCAGTGTAAGTAAAAAATATTAAACTGTAACTTTGTTGTTAATTTAAAAGAATTCTCAAACAGAGTTGAAATGTAAATAAATGTGTAAGGTATTGAAATTGTGTGGAAGGAAACAATTTTGCAGAATGCATTGATAGAAGGAGTTTGGTACCAGCACCTGAAAGCTGCAACTTACAATTACATCATCTTGTATGTTATTTGAAGACAGCATTTGCCTAGTTTCTTTTTTAGGTCTATGTAATTTCTTCTGCTATAAATTTAGATAACTGTGCTTGGAACATGCAAATGATAAGAAAGCTCAGAGGCGTTCCTCTTAGGGGCCTACTACAGCAGGGAAAATACAAGATACTGTTAAACTTAATGTTCTTATTTTATTCTGCCTACTCCCTAAAAGAATTACTTTTCCTATCCCAGAAGTCCTGTGAACATTAGGATATTTTATAGTTATCTTTTATGATAGTTATCTTTTATACGTGGATAATACTGCAAGGCAATAGTTAAAATAAAAACAGGAGGAGAGCACAGCCCAAATTCTCAGAGGTAGTTCTGTGCCAGCTTCAGTTTTAGTGGGTGTTAAATGCCTAGCTTCCCTTGAGAACCAAGGGCCTAGTTTTCAATGGAAGATTTAATTGGCAGCTGCTGAGATTGGATCAAGCTGGAGTTTGATCAAGACAGCTGGGCTAAAATATTTACTAAAAAAAGTTATGTTTCTGTCATCTACTGCTACTCACGTTCATCTTGTTTTTCTCTTGTGTAAACCTGAAGAGGTAATAAATAAGATGATGTACTTTTTAGCAAAATACAAAAAAGGGAAAATGCGTGTAAGAGCTTAGATTTTCTAATAGTCACAGTCTGTGCAGAAACAAGAAAAGATTCAGTACTGTTCTGAGTTGTGGCCTGTGCGCTGATAGTAAACGGTAATTTGTGTTTGTCACAGTGGTCTTTCATTAACAAATATTTAGTAACATTTGCTTATTTCATGGGTTTTGTGTCTCTCTATTTGTTTCTGGTGTATGTCTTTTCCTCATAAGAATATCTGGTTTTATGGATGTCCCCTTTGAGGTTTTATGAAACAGTTCTCTGGTCCTGGACCATAGGAAAAAGAATCAATCTAAGGTTAATGTATTTACATTTAGCTTGCACATTAAAAATATGCATGTTTAAAAACAGGTTAGAAAATTATACATGTGTAAATTTCTTAGACAACGGAGCAAAGTTAAGTATAATTTTTACTTTTCTGGTTAAGTATATTATGCACTGAAAGAATCCTTGAAGAACAGCTGCTTGCTTTACATTTCTGTATGTAAAAAAAGCAAAAGCAGCATGATTTGGTGCGGATTAAATTGACAGTATTGTTGAGTACTTTCATCTGCATTAAAGTAAAACCATTTAAAAGTACAAACTAATTAAAAAAAAATTGTTCTCTTTATCTATGAGTTTGTTCTTGCTTTGTACAGACTTACTGAATTTATATGTTCTGTATGTTTGTGTTTTTTATTTAGGATGTAGATGAAGAAATTGAAGCAGAATATAATATTTTACAGTTTCTTCCCAGTCATCCTAATGTTGTTAGATTTTATGGGATGTTTTACAAAGCAGATCAATATGTGGGAGGACAGCTCTGGCTAGTACTTGAGGTAAAAACATTTTGATAACATTACATGTCAACTAGAAATTGTTTGGTTTCTATTTTTTATTGCTAGAAGAGTCACAGGCTTTCATGATTCTCTGACTGGGGCCGTTAATCAAAGGACTGCTGATAGATGATGTGTGGTAGCCTAGTTGAAAATAACATCCAAACTTCAAGTCTGTTTAATAGGGAATGTCCTTGCATTTAATTTCTGTTCGAGTTGCTACGTTCTGCCTCCAAAACAAGTGAATCCTTTTGATAAGAATGGTTTGCCTAAAACCAGCTGCTTTTTCATGTTGGAGGGAACGTTGGATAAGACATTTCTCTAAACTTTTGGAGAGCTCATGCACTTGAGGGTGATGCAAAAGACGATGAAGTAGTAACATGGAAGACAGTTAAAAAATGCGCTGCCTATTGTGAAAGCGAACAGAGAAAATGTAATGGGAAAGTCAGTTTTATGGTAATTTAAGACTAGAGGCTGGTTGTTTGTGAAAAACCTAGCAACAGAAATGCCTGCTATTAACTTCTTGTTCAGTGGCAATCAGTATTCTTGCAATGAAAAATGTATTTTGGTGGTCTTGTTGCCAGTTAAGTGACTGCCAAAGATTGTTGCAAGATGAGGATTTCTTCTAGATGTTTTTTAGGCTTAATTGATACAGAGCTTTGCACAGACTGATGATCAGTGACAGACCATTCAAACATATCTCTCTGTTATAACTAGATGGGTGGAAGTTAGCATTCGCTTTTTAATTACTGATCATTTTAGATGTTCCACTCGCTGTTCTTGAATGGTGACTGGAATCAGAATAGGGAATCTTTATTTCTGCTTTAAGTTGTGGAATCGCAACATCTACCTTCTATGTACTGCAGAATTATTTAGCTTGAATGAAAACTTCTGGATGTGTTTCATCTTAAATTTCAGTAACTATTAAAAAAGTAGCTTTAGTTTTTTTGTTTTGGTGATGTTTTTACTGTATGCCTGCTGGCTTTGTATTGAGTTTGGGCTTGGTTTCCCATGTGTTTTCTTTTCTAATACAACTGTAGCGTATTTGACAGATGCATCGCATGTGTGGTATTCCATCTAACAAAATTTTGTAAAGCAAAATTGTGACACGTTCTGTGTAACACATTGTATGTAAAATTTGAGAGAGCTAGGAGTTTGTACAGACCTTGTCAATTAAGTATATTCATTTCAGGTGTTTTTTGGTGCACATTATCCAAAGTTTTACAAGTAATTTGACGTTTTAAAAAAGTGTTTTCCTTATATGGATAAATTTACCAAACAGGGCAAACTATTTCTTGCCTTGGAATTCACATGCAAATTTATGGATTCATGGCAGCTACTTTTTATATGATAAATTAATGACACTTTGTCAGTAAAAGGGAATATACAAAGTACTCAGACTTTGATCCCTGAGTTTTTGATGCAATGTGTTAATTGGATGTGTATCTTACAAAATTTGTAATAAAAAGGTGAATTTTTTTTTCCCTTTAGGCACAGTTTTGCCATGTTTACTCACTACAAGCAGGACCTTACTTTGATAAATGCCTAGGATGAGGAAGGGTAGCAAAAGTGGACACCTTAAATAGTTTTATGATTATGCTGTTCTTGGATACCTGTAGCACGGACAACTACAAAGCAAGCTTCCCTACTTTTCCATCTAAATGTGCATCAGTCCACTTTTTAAAGTATTGCCATTAGGTATAAAGTGGTAATGAAGTTGACAAGTTCATTGTGTCCCAGATTTTTGCTGACTGTCAGCATCACTGACAGCTGTAGTAGTCTTTGTGGGATATAATCGTTTTCAGAGTCAGTCATTCATTTAACATACGCTACAAAACAGTTGTCAGTCTGTATCATTTTCCAGTCACAACCAGCTTGGCTTTTTTTTGAATTGAAGGCATACTTTTCTATATTTTATTTGCAGGCTAGAGATAAGTTTAGTACAGCCTGTCTCAGAATACCATTTAGTGCAATGAAAACAATAAACAAAAATCTTTGACTTAATGGCTTGTCAGCAAATGGTTAAGCATGAAAAGAAAAACACACACTTTCTCTCACAAGATGGTGTTCTCCTGTAAATACATTTGATGATTGATATTGAGCTGAATGCTCCTACCAAATTGATTTAAAAAAAAAAAAAATCCCTACTAATGAATTAAAAAGTTAAGTCAAATCCCTGCAGAACTCATCGATGTTGTCAGTGATGAAATTTTGCTTCAGGAACTTATTTACATAAAGGTTGTCTTGTTTATCATCCGATCTGATAGTTTTCATGAACTAAAAGTTTTAGTCTAGTGAAATTTTTTGATGCAAATGGAAGTTAGTAATAAATGAAGGAAAATGTCGACATATGACAAAAATTTGTGATTGAACTGATCCACAGTTCGTAAAAGCTATTTGCAAGATGCGAAACTTGAGAGTTTGTAGAACTTCTGCTTTCATACCGTTCTCGTGATTTTCACTGTAGTAGTTTAAACTTAATAGTGGTAGTGTAAAATGAACTTGTGTTGAAATGCATGTGATTTCTGTATGGCAGAAACATTGGTGAGGGTGCTGGCTACAAAAACAGGTCTGGAGCAGAAGATTCAATGAAAGAAAGGCAATCAATTCTCCCGTTGTTTTGTTGTTGTTGAAAAATTGTGAATATTAAAGTAAGAAAAGAACAGAGAAAAAGGAGAAAGGAAAGAGGCAAATAGCTGCTTAGAAGGGCATGGACAGTAAACTAATGGCGTGGGTGAAAACATATTTACAAAGATTCTAATTTTACTTTTTCTCCTCCTCTTTTGATGTATGGCAACCCATTAGTGGGAAATGCTTGCAAGAAGCTACTTTTCTGGATCAGAATGTTTCATCTTAGTTGTTGGCAGCACATGCCATCAAATCTGAGTATAGAGATATGGCTTCTGTCTATATTGCCTGCCAGCAGGAGCATTGATGGAGTGAAAGTTTAAAATGACTGTAATTTGTTGCCTCCCAGTTATCAAGAGCATCAGTCTTTTCTGTCTGGCCTTTTCTTTGCACAAAATCAGTTTTTCCAAAAGACAGTGCACGTATTATCATGAAAATACTCAAACAATGTAAATTGGACTTATCCTCTTTTTAACAACAAAAATACATTCCTGTTCATAGTATTTTGGTATTTAGTTACACTTTATAAATTACACTTTATAGTCTTTGGTTTTCATTTCCCTCCCCCTATCCAAGCTACTGTGATTTGTTATTAACTTTGCTAATGAAATGTGTTCTAAGGTGGGGTGACAACATAAATAATTGCAAGGTAAAAACCTAGTTGTTCCCAGCTTGTGTTGTAGTGCAGTTCTGCATGGTAGGTGTTTACAGCCTAAACAAGTAAATTGAGTAACTGAGGACTTGTCTTGCCTTTTCTCCCCCTTGCAACTCCCCCCTTCACAGCTGTGCAATGGAGGTTCTGTCACAGAGCTTGTCAAAGGCCTGCTGAAGTGTGGCCAACGGTTGGATGAAGCTATAATCTCATACATCTTATATGGTGCTCTCTTGGTAAGGATGTTCGTTGGGCCTGTAATGACAGCAGAGGGTGCAATTTACTCATCTCATACATCCATTTTCTGTTTATAAAGTATGGTAATGTTGACAATGTTATATGGGCTATTATAACAGCAGGGGTTGTCTCAAGCATGTAATCTGGTGGACAGATGTTTCTATAGAGTATGTGCAGATTGTCTTCATTACAATCCCTAATAGTAGGGTAATTGTTATTAAATAAGGGAGTAAACTTATTTTTGTTACTGCTGGTATATAGGGCCTTCAACATTTACACAATAACCGGATCATTCACCGTGATGTGAAAGGGAACAACATTCTTCTGACAACAGAAGGTGGAGTCAAGCTCGTTGACTTTGGTAATGACCACTTCCCATTTGTTTTCCTGATACATGCAGTTTAGCCAAAGGCATCTGTTTTCTTTCCCCTGGGAAGGCAGAATATCATAGTGAGAGACTTTTTTAGAATTATTTTAAGAAGGAAAAATTGAGAAGGAACCCGATACAGCAAGACTAAAAATTCTAGCCAAAAATCAGTAATAGACTTTTAACTTAAAAGCTTAAACATAGTAATTTAATAATTAAAAATAGTTCTGAAGGTACCATTTTATTTACAAAGCTCTTTTGCATTTCACAAGGAATGTCAGTTTCAGGGCAGTTGTCCTCCTAATTTAAATTTAGATATTCTCTCTTTTGCATATGAAAAGGAAACATTCTTCTCTCTGAAATGGCTTTTCCTAGCCTTAAGCATATTTTTTCCCTCTGAGCAGAAGGTAAAATGGTCCCTTGGGTTCAAGACCCAACATCCATTTAATTTGTGATTATTGCTGTTAGATTTCAGCATTGTCAGTCTGGAAACATCATAAGAAATGGGGGGGGGGGGGGGGGTCGGGGAGAGAGACTTGGCAATAGAATTTAATAGAGTTCAGCAATTTTTTTTCCCTTTAAACATGCACTTAGAAAAATAAGGAAATGCAGTAGTCCCTCAGATATGTGTGCAATGGAATGGACAATTTTGTTAAAGGTAGCAGAAACAGATTATTAGCAATATGATTTATTAATGAAACCATATAATGTATAAGGTAATTGCCATTGAGAATAGTTTTGTGTGAATAACAGATGTTTGTTTGGCAGTGCAGGAAGGTAAAGGAAAACATTTGTGAAATAAGAGTAGTGTAAAATGGTGTGCCAAAAAATTCTGCTAGTAGTAGTATTTTTTTAAAAAAAACCCTGAAAAATATTAAATTTATGCAGTGGAAAGAAAATTTAATACTGATGTTGTCGTGATATTATAAATTTAACATAAAAATCTATTGAAGATGCTAAAGTAAGTTGGGAAATAGGAGACTCTTCAGTATCTTCTAGGGACAGAAATTAATTATGTTGAATGGTAAAGGCAAAAATTAAAATAGTGCTAGGAGAAACATAGGGCCTGAAGAAAATGGAGTGAGTCCCTGATGTAGTACAAAGGAGGAAGATCCCTTCTCATTTGGGGGAATTTTGACAGTATGATCTTCATTTGTAACTACTCCATTCTGGGAAAAGTTGGCTGTTCTTCCCAAAGCAAAATGTTTTTATCAGATGTATCAAAGGCCTTAGCTGCAGCACCAGCTCACCTTGGAGCTCTGGCTTCCGAAGGCAGATCAGTGTGCTGCAACTGCAAGTGGCACATTCAGGAAACCTGAAAATCCCAACCTTTCTGGTGTTCCATGGATCTCTCTGCTTCCACATTTAGGTTTTATGGGGTTTTTTCTACTTTTTGAGTTACAATAGTAACACTAGAAAATCACAACAAATATGACTGCCTCAGGAAAAGACACTAAGTTAAATCTGGAGTGTTTCCTAACACTTAATGATTAGGGAATGCCAAGAAATGCCCCCATATCTATGGGCTTCCTGATTAAAGAAGCATCAGGCACCAAGCTTTTGTTAAGTTGTTATTTTTCCCCTCTAGCCTACTCCCGTAGTCATAGAAGGGACTCTGGGAATGAATTAGGACTGAGTCACAGGTGATATTGTTTGTAGAACTGTGTGTCTCATTTGTTGCAGAAAGTGGAAAGTATATAGTGAAAAATAAAAGGCGTTCAGGAAGAGAAGGGACTTGCAGTTCAGACAGTTGAATGGCATCAAATTGGAGACTATTCTTGCTTCTGACAGTGTTTCTTCTGACAGTGTTTCTCTGTAATGTTGGCAGGTCACTTGTGTCAAACTTTTTAGAAGTAGCCATTCTGTTCCTCATTGTTCCAATAACGAGTTTGAAATATCTCGTCCTCCTTTGCAGAAGACCTAAGAGTTCTTGAACTGCATCTGAGTCCTATTACAGCTCTGCTTGAGGCATGTGGAATGCCTGAAAACTGAAAGATCTCAGATTAAGTACCCAAAACCAGTGGAAGCTTCGGATATTTTTGGTTAATCCCTGGAACTGATAATCCTCTCCCATTTTGCAGGAATGTTAAGGAGATTTATTGTTTGATGAGGAGGGAAGGAAACATGTCAAAAGGAAAAGAAAATAATAATTTTAAATTTAGTATAGGATTGGATATACTAGATAAGTAACTAGAACTCAAAATTGTCAGGGATAAAAAAATATTAAATGACTACCTATTCAATGAATGCTATGCGTTCTGTCCACAGAATGGACAGAATCTTGAAGAAACAAAAGGTTATTTGATATTCAAGGCTGTACATATGGATATTATTTCACAGAGAGGGTTACACAGGTATCCTTAACTGAGGCGCCTTTTGGTTTTTGCCTTTGTTACATGACTTTACAACTTGCTTTTTCAATGTAACACACATTGCTTCCCTCAACTGCTCTCGACAGCATGATACATTTGAATAAATGTTGGTCACAGTGTAAGTTGACCCAAAACGTCTGCAGCTTATCGTTCATTTATGCTCATGCTCGCTCACTCTCTCCTGCTGTCTCCCTCTCTCAGCTCTTTGGTATTCTGCACTGTTTTGAAGTGTCCATAGATAGCAGCTACAAATTAAGCTAGCTGAAGAGAGATCAGAGTTAAATGCACAGAGGCTTGCTGTAGGTCCTAGCCAGTAACTGTTTCACAGTGGTACTCAGGAAATCACTGAAGACTTGCAATCACACTGAAAAATGAAAAATAAATACAGAATTGAATCTTGAAGCCAGCAATCAAATTATTTAACTTATGAATTATGAGTCCCAATTTCTTATTTATTGGCATCAGGCAATGTGTATTATATGTATGTCTGACAGTTTTTGTCTCTGGGTAATGCCATAGGAGCAGACCACCGTGTTTTTTGTTTTTAAACAATGTTAAGGTGAAGTATTTTATTTAGTCGATATTACTGGAATGCTCCTGAACTCTACGATTCAATTATATATTGGCCAGAGCACAGAAGAAGATTTGTTGTGAAAGTTCATTCTGATTTGTTAACGTCTTTTGATTTCACTCTAGTTCTTTCTTCCTTTTTTCAGCTGTGCTTCAGTAGTCCAGCCCCAGTCAGCAAAGCACTGAAGCACAGGCTTTGTTTTAAGCTTGTGCTTAACTCCCTAAGTACAAGCTGCAGTGTGAGCTTGAGCTCCCGTGCTTTTCTCCATGTGGAAAGATTTAAGCAAGCGCATAAATGTTCTGTTGAACAGGAGCCTCTGCAAATACTCCAGTGAGCAAATTTCCTGCCAGTGGTGTTCAGGGAGTAAATTTCTGAAACAGAGGTTTTAAAGTTAAGTTGTAATTTGAATAGTTCCAGTTTATACTCATGAAAACAGCAGAAAGAAGTCTGTGGTATTTAGCTGCCCATTGAATTTTTGAATTTAAGTGAAAGTGCTTCAAACTGAGAGTTATTCATGAAAAATCTCTCAGCGATTCTGAACAAAAACAGCAAGCTGAAGCTAATCAAAGAATTCTGTACAAATGCTTCACCTACTTTGGCCAGATGTTTTGCAGCTCTACTCCCATGTTTGGGGGTTGTTTTCGAGATACTTGAAGTAAACTGAGTGAAATGACAATGAATTTGAAGCCAATTTTTTTGGGTCTGTTTTATTGCAGGTGTTTCAGCCCAGCTCACCAGCACACGGCTGCGTAGAAACACCTCAGTAGGAACACCCTTTTGGATGGCACCTGAGGTAGGCAAATGTTCCCATCTGGGTTGTCTCCATCCATTGCAATTCACGCTTTGTTGCCGATTCCAGGTAGTAAGAGAAAAGAGTATCTCTTCTTCTCTCCCCTATGGCTCTGTTTCTACTTTGTACTAGGCCCCTGTTCAGTAAAATGAGTGTACTACTAGAATATACAAAATGGATTTTTAATAATCTTCATTATTTTATTTCTGTAATGTTTCCATAAAAGTACAGATAATCTGCAAATAACTGAGGGGCTTTCCCCTCAAATACTGTTTGTTTTGGTGTGCTTGTCTGTGCCTCTGAAGACTGGGAGGAGAAGAAGGAATTCCCACATTCCTGTCTTGCTATAGGACTCTGCAAATCTGTGACTTTGCTATGTGTTCTTTAACCTTAATCATTGACTGGGGGTCTTACACACTTAGACACATGGACTAGCATAGATTAAAAATGGAGAAAAATAATCTACAGGCGGCCTGTAGCCCAGTATCTTGGACCATATTTTTGCATGCTACTCCCCAGACATAACCCATTTCTTTCTATTTCACAAAGTTCTAGAAAGTTTTAACACACTGTTGAACAAAAGTCCCTTGTGTACTTTCCCTCAATTTGGGGTGGAAGATGTTAATCTTAGCACTCTCTGCTTTGAGAAACAAAAAATACTTTTGCAAGGTATAGATTATGAAATTAAAAAATAGGGAATGAAAAGGGAGTGGTCTGTTTATTTGTAAGTTGTTAATAACAACTGTTCGTAACAGTAGTGGCCTCATTTCTGTTGAAGGCCATTAGACTTATTTGAATTTTTTGGAGTTTGGGATGGAATTTGCATCTGTAACAAATGCACACAGGTCTATTTCTGTATGTCAAATGGTTGAAAGTATCGTGCAAACATTTGTTTTAAAACATTTTATACTTTTTATACATCTGTTTCTGTTGCTAAGGAAGACTGATTATAGCTGAGCAGAGAACAAAAGCTGCTGTAACGGATCCAAAATTGATCTTGCACAGTCTCACAAAGAATGGTTGATATTTTACCATCTCCATAACAACCAGTTTGCGTCACAAAGGAGACACAAGATACCTTAGAAACCACTATGCAAGCATTATTTATGGAATCACCTTGGTTGGTGATGTTCTCAAACCTCTATAAAATACTCCTCTGGACAACAACGGACATATTACGAAATATTTTATTGAACTCAGACTATTAGAAGTTATTTTTACAGTACTGTTTTGCTTGAATAATTGCCATCAAAGGCAGTAATCATAGCAAATTTATTTTCCCATCCTGCTTGAAAATACTCATTCTTGAAGTAAAAGGCCAAAGAAATAATCAGAGATTTTTATCTCAAAAATTTTGACCTGAAAATACAAAACACATGTAACCAATGTACGGTATGTGCATAGCACATCAAAACAGGAACAGAAGTAGCTTTGAATGCTTCCTGTTTTGAAAAGATTTGTCAAAATAACCAACCCAGTACCATAAGCATAGTAATCCATCACATTTGCCTGCCTGCGTGAGCCACACCGATCAGGCTTCATAGATGTACCAATCTGCAAAACAGCTGTAAGGTGCTCAGATATCCATTATGCTGTTGTTGAAATGGCTTTTAAATGACAATTTGTGTAACACTCATGCTAGAGTCACTACAGTTGCTTTCTTTGTGTTCACATGAATGACACATTTCAACTGATCTGCAATGTGCAATTTACCTTACTTCTGGGAAGATCTTTGTGGTGTTTTTGAAATGTGCAGCCAAATTTTTACATGAAGGATCAAAGATTAGGACTGCAATAAACTGAAAAACTCTGCTTGGGTAACAGCTTATTAGGAACAGTGTTTTCTAGATGAGACTGTGGTGAGATCAGTGAAAACTAGAAAATCACTTGACAGTTGCAAAAATCTTGCTGCCTAAAGGTTTTGGCGTAGGATAGACTCTGTGTCAAACCCCAAAATACCATAAAATAACTGGACAGGAAGGAAATGTTACTAATCAGAGAAATAGAAACCATGAAGACTAGGATTTTTTTTTTTTTTCAATTGGACTTTTACTATCTGTGTATGAAACATAGGAGCCTCAGTCAATGCATAAGGCAATCATGGGACCTCGTCTTATCTAAGGTTGAGAAAGATGGATTTAATCGGAAGGGGGAGTGGAGAGGGGAGATGAAAAGGCTTACCTTGGAGGAAGAGACTACAGGAGTGTTTCAGAGAAATGAACCTTGTGAAGTGAAGCTTCAATATTTTTCAGGGTAAACCCCAGAAAATAAAACCTGGAGAAGAATGGTGCAAGATTATTCAAGCTGACAGATAAGAATGACTGGATATAAGCAGGAAACAAATATGCTGGAAACTAGAATCGCTACATCAGCTTGGATCAGGAATAATCTATATAATGAGGAAAACCATTGTACTTTAAGATGACATTTGCAAAATGTATTGAAGGGATTGTTTGGCATGGTACTTGCAACAGCAAAAGTTTGTAGGAAAATCACAGTGATTGAGGGTGGCATAAGGTGTTCTGTTCAGCTCAGTGTTCTTACTGGCAGCACGAAAAGCAGCAGCTTAACACTTTTGAGTCACTTGAACATCTTAGAGGTTTTTTTTTTTTTTTTTTTTTTTTTCTGATAACTGTGAGGCTTGTTTAGCAGCAACAGGACAAATCAAAAAGATTTGTCCTTGAGCATTTATTTTGAGCAGAGCATGTGATGAACAAAATTTTTGCTGAAAAATGAAAATAGAGGAAAAAACTAGGCTGTGTGGAAGCAACAGAGGAACTTGGCAAGGATGAGTCAGTTTGAGAGGAGCTTTAAAGTAGACTCACTGAAAATCAATCATTGCTGTTTAACCTAGTTGGTGTCATCACACTCCTACAAATACAGACATGCAGAAACTGAAACACTGAATACAGGCATGCCAAGAGAAGATAAATAAGGCAGGATAGTTTAAGTATGGTGGATGTTTAAAGCTGCCTGTTGCCAAACACTTAAGTCACCTAAAATCTGCTTCTGTTATGCTGAAATAAATTGTGATGAATGATAGCAGGAGGTATCAGATTTGAAACTTTTGAACGGAACTGCCTTTACATCTCTAGTTCTAAACTTTAACATGTTTGTCTTCAACCTCCATGTGGAACTGAACAAAATCTAGTTCAAATAGAATTGCAGTTTTCCTTTTCCCCCAAATATATTATCATGATCTAGCTGAAAACTTGACTCTTGAAACAAGCTCAGTTAGAATCTGTACATGTTTTCTTTGGCCCAAAACTAGTTTGAAAAACAGAAATGGAAAAACAAAAGGATACTTGAAGTCAGAAAGAACTGGAGAAATGCTGAAGGTAATTTAAAACCACAATCAGTATGCTGTTATGTTTCGCTGATAACTGCTAAAAAATGACAATGGTGCATGCATATTTATGTTTTAAAAGGAACATAATTAAAACCTAGTTGATCCTTTGAAGAATTATGTGTTGAAATGTGATGCATGACAGTAGGAAAGCCTGAGACATTGGTAAAGATATCATACAAGTTCTGTAATAATGAGTTAACCAGAGGTAAACTCTTGGCTCTGTTTTGCTGTTGATTTCAGAGGGATTTCAGGTGTCACAGTATTGTTTAAAGCTGTGTCAACTCTGTATTTTGGGTATTTGTTACCACCCTGCCAAGATGAAGTAATGATCAATAAGACTGCCCCAGAGACCACAGATTGTTTTCCTTCCCCCTGCTGAATCAAGGCATACTTCCTGGGATAAAATTCAGTACATCTGAGCATCAGAATACATAAGTGTTAGAACAATAGGTGACTAGTTAAATTGTCTTTCTTTTTCCAATGTTCCTTTGTATTTTTTTAAACTTCAAATCTGATCTCATGTGTGGGCAATAAGTCTAATCCTGAAACAATTAATAATATTTGCATTGTTTCAGCACAAAGCTGTGTCTCTGCATAATCTAAATAAAGTCAACCAAACTGATAAAAAGAGCACCCCAAAAAGTAATTTGCATTCATGTAGTTGAAAATTATATAAAGGGAGAAGTCTAATTTTTAAAGACTTGCAGCAGCTTTTCCACTGAAGTCCATATTCATTATGGTAAGGGCTGTATTCAGGCCTTAGAATTTGATCAAAAAACCATCTTCCTTTTGATTGATTAGGACTGATTTCTCTTATGTACCTCTCTATGGTTGGAGACATGAAAAAATTTACAAAAAAATCCATTTAATAGCGAATACATTTCATGTGTAGTTAAGTACTGAGTTGGAAAAGCAGCATAGAAAACACAAACCCATCACTAACCTGGGCTTATGTTTTTAATTAAGTCTAAACAAATACAATGATACATTCCCCTGAAATTTTGGAATATATTCTCATTTTGTCACGCTTCAAGCTAGCTTATTTGCAGCCCTTTGCTTACATCATGGTTCTCAAGGTCAGCATCCTGTTAATAGCTCTAGGTCTCTTCAC